GAGAGAGAGAGAGAGAGAGAGAGATGATGGGAGGGAGGTGGAGAAGGAGCAGCTTCACTCCAGGTCTTGGGGGATTGTTGCGTGGTGTCCTCTCTGTACTTCACTCCAGCGGTGCTGTGGTGGTTGTGGCTCAGTGAAGCAGCTCTTGTTGTGGAGCTGCCTGTGTGGATGCTGCAGGATGAAGTGTGTGTGTTTGAACTTTGCCTTCACCGTCACCTGTCTGTGGCTTCTCCCTCCAGCGGTGAGTGACATCGGTGAACTGCTCCGCGCCTCCACTCCGCTGCTGAGGTGGAGGGTTTGGAAATCACAGTGTGGTGTTGCAGTACTGTCAGATTTTCATTTTCTGCACATTTACTGAACTGTGCTGGGAAATAGAAACTCTATTTGTCTATAATTGTAATTTATAGTTTTTTATGTAGCCTGTAGTTATTAGTAATTGTTGGAGAAAAATCTCAAATAAGCCTGAGCTCTGAAGTTTGTTTGTTTTTTGCTCAATTATAAATGTTCTCTTGCATTTACCTTGTTTCAGTTTATAATCACGCTGCATGTAACTATCCTGTTTTTTGGAAAAGTGCTAAAATATATTATTATTGGTCATCACGTTGCATCATTGATGCACAAACACTGGTCTTGTTTAATTATTTGTTCTTGTTGAAAGGCGTGGTTTTCTGTGCATGAAAATCAACCAGCAGTTTTTCCCCCTTTATGCTTCATGGTGGTTTCAAAGGATTCTGTAACTTGACATGGAGACGTTGACTGCAGAGCAAATCCTCCAAATCATTTGAAGAAGTAGACAGAGGTGACAAGTCCACTCAACTGATCTTTGCTCTGGTTTGTTGGAATTTTAATGCCACTTGGTTGAGACTTGACTTCTTTGATTCTTCTGATCTGAGATATCTTATATTATATGTGTTATGTGAGGATTGGGACTGGAATTGGTCTTTTGTCCTGATATGATTATGTCTCAGAACTTCATGATTTGAAGTCTCAGAGCTTGATCAGAGTTCTCTCATGTGAAATTCACACTCAGACTTGTAATTAGTTCCAGCCTTCTGCTCTGTAATTCTTAATAATAGAAAATTCATCTGCTGTCCTGTCTTTAATTCAACTTCATTTAACTGTGCAGCAGGAGCAGCCGTCTGCACCATCTGTAACTTTGTCAGTGAAGCTGTCAGGTGAAACCCTCAAAGCGAGTTCATTTTGTGCTTTATGACTTGAACTAAATTAATCCTCTGTCTTTGATTGTTTGAAAAGTTTTATCACCCCAGAGCTTCAGAAACATTGTCACCTTGTCTTTTTCTTAAGTCTGAAAAACTAACACATTAAGTATATTTTTAGCCAATGGCATGTATGTTCTCTGTCCTCACAAATGCAATTACAGCTCTCAGGTTTCCCAGCTTCCTATTCCTGTGCAGGTGCTTTTGCACAGGTGTTGTGTTTGCATCCACTCCCCCGCTGTTGCTCAGTTGCAGTCACTGTGCTGGCATCTTGACACAGAGCCAATGACAAGGCTGTCACACCACGAGCTCCAATTAGGGAAGGTGAGAACAGCCCATAGTTGGAGATTTAGGTTTGTAACAGTGGGCACAGCTGGAGCTCACTTTGTTCCAGGAGGTGGCAGAGATTGGCACATGGGGCTGGAGGTGGTGAGGGGTGATGTGAATCCCACTTGCTGGTGAGAGATAATGATACCCTGAGATCTATTTATTCAGAAATCTGGGGGAGAATATTTCTAAACCTCTGCCTCCGACACGTTATGATGAAACTAGAATAAAGTCCTGAACAACAAGTGTGCAGAACTTTCTGCACAATTTGTGTCACGACTCTCTACAGGAGTTTCTCACACCGCATGAAGCATTTTAATGACCTGACTAGTGAGAGGATCCAATTAGTTTTTGCCCTTGAAAGTAATTTGTGTTTACATTGGTATTTTTGTGTCTGTACATCATGTTACATCCGATCACAGGACAATGCTGCAAGTGAATCTGGCAAATATCAGTCACATAAACATCCTCATTAATGACAGGATTTATTGAGCTTAACAATCACTTAATTTTCACAGCTGCTCTCCTCTCATTTCTGTGTCGTGCTTTTTACAGTCAAGTGGAACTTACCATGTTTGCAATGCAATACAAAAATTAGATGATAAGGGGACAGTTGCTTTGCTACAACAGCAGCAAAGGGGATATTTAAAAAGCCTCAGAAAATATGGAATATAAGCATTAAGTAATACTCAATTAAATATATATGTTTTGTATCGCATTCAATCATAACATATATCCCAAGGCACTTTACATAATAATGTCGACACCTTAAAAATTATAGAAAACCCAACAGTTCCTAGTTAGTAACAATATTTACAATTAGATGATATTGAGATTGCACAGACAAAAATATTGAAGTTGCGCTGACAATGGAAGAATTGCTCAGTTTAAATTAGATTGCACATGAGTTCTTTATTTATTTGTTATTTGCCTATATGTGGTGCATTTACAATAATAGCAGCAAAGACAGGGATGATGAAATAGTTGCAAATAAAACATGAACTGCTGCTCACATGACTGACAACGGGAATCCAGCTGAAAGCCCAATCCTTCTAATAAGAGAGGAAATAGAAGAGGGGATTCTTTTTGTCTTTTTGAGAAAGACAGAGAAGCTAAATGTGGAAAAGATGCTGTGGACACTTTGCACGTTTGTTAAACTTTACATTATAAATGGTGAATGAGCATCGATTTCAGCAGTGACCTGTGTGTTGACTGTGTCCCTGTCTCTTCTACAGACGTATTGATTAATAAGCCGATGGATTCAGTTCATTATCAAGGTCGCACTGAAAAGTGGATCGGGAGTTTTAACAAGGGAAGAATAGAGAGGACAGCCAAATTAAAATGTGTCCATGGAAATATGACTGTGACATTGTGTGTGGGCATGAGCATGTTCCTTCCTGCAGTCCTTGCCTGAAGGGGCTGACCTACACTATCGATCACAGTCAATCTCAATTCGCTCTCGTTCAGGGGACCTGACACGTTGAAGCATAATTATTTTGATCGATTATCTGCTTTCTTGTAATGTAGCTGCAGTGAAAACTGTCCTTCATCTGCGGTCGTCCTGGTGATCTAAAGGGCTTTCTCCCTCTAATCTGTCTTGTCACTCTTTATTCTGCAGAGCTAATATTGATATGCTTAAGCTGTCTGCGAGCATGATGAAGGTGGAGTGATATAAACACAGGTGCAATGTTGCTTTCTGAGTTACTATTTTTCAACCACAACAATCTGTGAGCTATCATTCAGATGATTCCAATGGGAATCATCCACTTGAGTCTTAACAGACAGTGTTTCTATTTGCAATGCTGCAGGTGTTATGACACAAAGAGGGAGTTTAACATTGAAAAGACTGAACCTTGGGAAGAAGCGACAGACTGTTGAAGCCTCATATTAACTTCCGATTCAAAGCTTGAGTGCTGCTCATTGATGCTGACACGCTGCACTGAGCATCTTTTTTTCATGCTGTACTCCATCTGCTGCACCGCTATTATAATAAAGTGATTTAAATTTTCACAATTTCCTTTTAGTCTTTGTTTTTAGTCGTACATCCGGAGCACGGTGAGGACCCAAATGCAGATGACACACTCGAGGACAGATCAAAAAATATATATTGATAAGACGAAACAAGGTTTGAGACACAGAACGTCAGAGGTTTTCAAAAACAATGACGCAAAAAAGGCAAAGGTCAAAAACTTACTAGAAAACATGACAAGCAGGGAACATAGAGGAACACAGGGTTTGAATACAGACGTTTACCAGATGAGCATGCAGTAGAGTACATACATCCACCAAGGCCACACGTTACTCTTATGAATCCACATTCAAATGAACTAGATCCAGATTTGAAGTTGAAACTGCACTAAATTTTACACATGAATTATTTTCTGAGAAATCACTGAAAATGATGAATAACGTCCTATCTTGCAATGTAGAAGAAAGTGAACAAAGAAATGCCTTTGATCTGCACCCTTATCCGGATCCTCATCAAAATCGAATGTATTCTTTCATGACCCTTCCATCAAGTTTCATGGTCATCCACCCTGTAGTTTTATTTTGTAATGCTGCTTGCAAACTAACAAAAAAAACAAATATATAACCTCCTTGGAGGTGGTAACAAAGCAGAGGTGGGGGCAGTCAAGGCGGGGGCAGGGGGGAAAGCAGACACTGACTGTGCAATAACAGAAAAGAACAACTCAACTCAAGGAGCAAACAACAGAGACACAAATCCAAAAACATAAACACCTGTAAGCCTATAAATACATTTAATAGTTCAACAAATCTCGCAGAAGATTTGATAGGGACTATTTCTTTGGTATCCAAAGTAACAGAGAAGCTATTTGTGGAAATAAAGTTTAATATCATTACATCTAATTGTTCTGTAAAAATCAAAAACAAATTCTGTTCATATCTATTGGGTGGTGAGAGCAATATCAGGCACAGTCACCTCAAAGCCAAGACATTTTGAACCAAATCTACTTTACTTTTTACAAACTAAATGTTACAGCTCGTTTTTTTGTGTTTTAATTCTTCTCTGTAGGTCCAAGAAACAGTGAATCCCTTGGACCAACAATGGAAGGAGGAGAAAGGAGGAAGAGAAGACGCTGTGGGAGCTGCACTGAAGGTGAAACACATCTCCAAAGATCTACAGATCATCTCCACCAAACACAAAACACCTGCTTACAGCTCGCTCGGCCCGTACGGCTGGCCGCAGAACTTCTCCCAAGCCCTGGATCAGTATCTGCACCGCCCTGCTCCCAGATCTCCTGCGAAAACATCCACAAAGGCCAAGAAGATCCTGGGCTGGGGTGATTTTTACTTCAACGTGAAAACAGTCAAGTTCAGCCTCCTGGTGACTGGGAAAATCGTGGACCACATCAACGGGACTTTCAGCGTCTACTTCCGCCACAACTCCTCCCGTTTGGGGAACATATCTGTCAGCATCGTTCCGCCCTCCAAAGCTGTGGGTTGGGAAGTTCTGCATCCTGTGACTCAGAGCGCTCACACCAAAAACTCAGTCCTGGTTCCGGAAGTGACGCCCTCGTACCAGAGCCTGCCTCAATCCACCAGCTCCGCCCCTCCTGACCAGCAGAAGCAGCAGCCGGACATGATGATGGTGACCGAACTCAACTGCAGGATTGAGTACCAGAGAACCAACCGGTCTAAGAAGACCAAGCCCTGCCTATACAACCCGGGGCAGACGTGCTACTCAGAGAACACCCAGTCACAGGCAGCCTGGATCTGCGCCAAACCCTTTAAAGTTATATGCATCTTCATCGCCTTCACCGGCACCGACTACAGGCTGGTGCAGAAAATCTGTCCAGACCACAACTTTCAGATGGAGCAGAACCAGCAGCACTTTGGATGATGGACTCAAGCTGAATCTGTGACGTCGAACACATCTTTTCATACTGACTGTTTTTTATGATGTTAAAAACACGTGATAGCAGTTTGAGCCCAGACTGATCTCTAGCTTACACCCAGTGCAATGTGGTGCTAAGCATGTTTCTTCTCTAGTTTCAGACTGCTTCTTCCCCATGGTGTTTAAATAGCAAATTCCCTTGTGGCCATCTCAGCATCCATTTAGCGTGTTGGGCTTAAAATGAGGTATAATGAGGTGCATCATTGGTGAATGGCTATATAGAGGCAACAGAAAGCAATTGCACTTTTAACCAATAATGATCTGCTCTTATTGGCCGTTTCACTCCGCGCACTCTGCTTGGTAAACACAGACGTATCCTTGTGGGCAAAGTGAAAGCTTTTCCTCTATTTTGGCAATTCACCATAGCACCTGGCTTTTAATGGAATCGGGAGACGGAGCTCTCATTGGTAAATTGCATGTTACACACAGAAAACACCCACCATCCATTAAGAGACTGTGCTTCAGACAAAAAAATGTTTATAGTGAGTTTGAAAATGTGAGTTGTATGTTGTAATGACACTCACCCTGAACAGCTCCATCTTATATTTAACTTTGTATAAAGTGATTTATGAGTTTTGTCTTTTGAATATGTATCAGTAGATGTGAAGACTTTATATCAAAATATTCGCTATTTGAAAAATGTGATTTCTTGGCTTATTAATAAAACAAAATGAACCTCTCCAGTTCAGACTGCAGGGACAGAATTATCCGTAGTTTTGTAAAAATGAACTGACTTCAAAAGGTTTTTATACAATTAAATGAACCGTGCACAGTAGCAATGATTGATGATATGTTTCTCCTTCAAAGACGTGAAACAGATGATTTACACCTGCCATCACTTTTATCAGTGTCCAGTGTCCTTGGATCAGTTCCAGTTTTGATTTTACTTTCACCTTTGCACCATGAGAGTGTTTGTGTTTTCCCAGCGCTCTGCTGTGACAGACATGTTTTCTTTCATGCTACGGAAGACATTTCGGGTGAGTAGGTTTGTTCAATACTATACTTATTTTACAGAATTTAAAAAAAATACATGCACAGATCCACGTGTGTGTGTGTTACATGTTGTTCTGTTGCTCAAATCGTTAATTTCTATAAACTAGGTCAGTTTTGTCACCTCATGTCACTTCAACCCTGACACAGACTGGTTTGAAAATGCACATTGTGTGTTTTTTTGTTTTGTATTTTCAGTCGCTCAGTCCAGTTGCATAAGTGTAACCATGTTTGTCTGATGACTGTGATTATTTCAGGTTGTTAGAGAAGAAAAGAGCACCACTGTTTGTCCCAGAAAATGTTTTGTTTGCAAAACTTTACACAGTTTAGAAAACAGTTTAGAGAACATGAACACAAAAGATGAAAGCAGGCTTGCTTCAAAATATATTTTATGCTTGAATTGTAAACTGTGTATTAGAACAAAGTTACATAGTTATGTAACTATCACGCAGGTACAAGCTGCCTTCAACAAACACGACCCTGATAAACAAGTCATGGCTTGTCTGGGTATAGTCCCCATTATACTTTTCATGTCCAAGGTTTTCCATAACCGCTCCAGTGAATAACACATTTGGTTTTTCACTGCCTTTCATTTAATGGATTGTTTAGAACATCAAAAGACACATTATTCCAGCTCCCTTGTTTCAGAGCCCCCAGTGCAAAGCATTATAATTTTGAGTGATGAAAGTGTTTTTGCACAGGCGTACTCTTCATGAGCTTTTCAAAAGACACAAAAGGAGCAATCTTAGACAATAACAACAAAACAAGACCCCTCAGAAACTTTTCAACCTTTCACATTTTACAGCACAATGGAGAGTTGCATCAGACCCTGTGACTACACAAGTCTGAGGCAGAGAATAGTTTGACAGCCATCATTCAGAAAGTGGATATATATTTTCTGACTGTGTTGGTTTGTGTATCCACTGCCCCACGCTGCAGCCCCTCTTCCCCAGGGTTTCGGGATGTTTGGGCCGAGATTGCCAGACCACCATGGAGCCATGCAGACGAGGCCTCAGCAGCTCCAGTGGCTGGACGGGACAGGAGAGCCTGGCCCAGGATGACCCAGAGATGTGGAGCCTTCTGCAGCAGGAGAAGGACCGGCAGTGCCGCGGCCTGGAGCTCATTGCATCAGAGGTGAGAGCCAACAATAAAAACAAACAAGGGCAGAAGCAGTAGTAGAAGCAAGTGGAGTTTTATTATTATGTTGAGGGGAGGTCAGCTGCAACATGCAATGTAAACACAAGATATCACAAAATTCTACACACTGTACCTTCAAGTACTGAATATTGATTAAAATACTTAGTACACTTTGTTAGATTTAACTGAGCAGTGGATTTAAAAGAATATTGAAATAATTATTTATAGCCCAGAACAAAGTGTATGCACAGTAATGGCAACGTGGTTTACATGCTTTCATAGAGTAACTGCACAGCTACTGATTGTTCACTATAACATGTAGTCACTGTATTCCTTCAACGCATGTTTGCAGCAAAACACTGTGCAACCCCATCAGACCATAGACTGAATATAAAGATGTCTGCTTCTCAAAAGTGAAACCAGAGTGTCTCAATCACCACCTGGTGGCTGGCTGCGGTACATGACATAAATCCCACCTCCTCTATGTTAGTGGACGGGACACAGTCCGATTTAAAAAGTCAAAGTAGTTGGTAGTTCTTATGACACTGATGTTAACTCATATGCAAATTTTTCCAGTAAGTTTGATTTTAATTATTTGAAGCTATATAAATGTGGCAAAATGTCATGAGACAGCTGAGATTGACTCATGATTGGTCGTGCACGTGTATCTGCGGGACGTCTGTCTCTAGATGCACAAGATGGCAGCGTTTGTATCTGGATTATTTTATATTTCTGGATAGTAGGAGGAAGTGGAGTCCATCTTTATGTACAGTCCATGTCTCAGACATTGCTCCTCTCAATAACAAAGTCCTTCATTAAGCAAATTATTGCTTTAACTTTACAAGGTGATAACATAAATATCATCTGTGGGTAGAATCACTCAGACCTTGCAGGTTATATGTGGATTTTACTCAATTTCAATTAATTGTCAACCATGATGCCAATTTGCCGAGGCTTCTCCTGTGTGGAAATTTTCATGAAGACCCTACTGATAAACAGGGATAATTCACAGCCATTGCATTTTTATTCAAATATAATTCAATATGAATTTCTTGTGTAATCACAGCGTGTGCTCATTACCTGCATGGCTTTTGGTTTAATACTTAGTTTAAATTCTTACCTTGGATCTTCTTTGTTAAAAAGCAGCTGTTCAACCTGTGAATATAAATGATAAGGATATTAAGACTGATTATCTCATGAGTATCTCTGTGGACAGACATGTTAAAGATGTTGTGTGTGAGACAGAAGGTAAGAAAAGCACTACAAGGAGGAGCCTCCTGAAGCCGTATAACCACACGTCACCAGAGCTACAGTTTTTAGAATTTATCTGCTTTTCTTCACAGAGATTTCTTGCACATTCTCCCCCTGTGAAGGTGAAAGTTACTGATTTCATCTAAGTGGAAGCTGTGGAGAAAAAAAGCTTTCATTCTTTTATTCTCCAGCAATTAGGTATCCAGCACCATCAGTCACAATGACATCTGAAAGATTTTCATATCCCCTCATGTGCCGCCAGTCAGTCAGTCGCCATTGCAGGCTGACTCCCAACAGAGAGTCTGCGTCATGTCTTCAGGAGCAGTCAAATGATCCCAGTAGGTCCCCTCACTGTTTTCCGCCATTGATCTGCAGTGAGACAGATGAGGTGTGAGTGTGTGTGTGTGTGTGTGTGTGTGTGTGTGTGTGTGTGTGTGTGTGTGTGTGCGTTCAACTGTCTGTTGAGATAGAGTTTGGAAAGTGTCCTAGAGAGACACATGTCACACGGGGGACAGGCCTGAAATCCCTCAGGTATGATTGCGGGTTCCCTGAACAGAGGCAGGCTTAGTATAATAACAAGGCAGAGGGGGACAGCGACAGACAGATAGAGAGAGAGGCTGTGCAGGAGTGAGAGAAGGGAAAAAACATTGAGACAGGAAAAAAAAATTCATTTACATTCATTTCCTTTTTTTTTCTGCAGCTCCCTCTTTCTTCTGACTCTCAACTGGAAAGATTTGACATCCTGTCTGAGCCCCATGGGGATCAGAGAGCAGAGTGAATATGGAGGTTTTGTCCAATTCGCCATATTCATCCATTAATTTAAATTACCTCCAATATTTTGTTCTCATTTCAACTTTCAGAAATTATTGACCTTTTGTAGAGATTTATGCAACAAATTTAATTGATTTAAATATAGTTGTCCTTCTCTGATTCTGGAGCTTGTCTTACTTTTTTTATAATTGGTGTTTATAAGAGAAATGCTCACAGTTGAACTAAAACTGAACGCAGGAAAACTAGAGTTGGACTATGGTTGTACTGTGTAGCTTGGCCTCGGTGAAACAGATCTTCAGTCAGCCGTATCCAGTTTATATTCATGGTGACAGTTTTCTGAATATTTAAGCCTGATAGAAAAGAAACATTGTGCGGTTCTGGATCCTGACTCTGAGCTTGTTTGTCCTGTCAGAACTTTTGCAGCAGGGCAGCGCTCGAGGCCCAGGGTTCATGTCTGAACAACAAATACTCTGAGGGCTACCCAGGACAAAGGTAACTACGAGGACAATGAACCTACAGAGCTTCAAAAGATTATCAGAAGCCCAATAATTCTGTGGCTTCTGATAATTAGAAAGTTTCATTCTACAAATGTCAGTGAAGTGGACTTGTGTTGTTGATTTTACTCCCTGATCACATTTCAACACAATATGAACAAAACGATAAAATATCATGACACGGCAACATATAATACAATGATATTATACAACACAATCTGACAAAAATATAATATGATACAAAATGATACACAATCTGATGAAATATTGTACAATATTAAACAGTACAATATGTGCTTTGATATGAAATAATATGAAACAATTCAAAATTAAACACAACATATAACAATGTGATGAAAAATAGTTTAGATGGGAGGAGTAGGTAAGAAATGGCATGGTGCCCTTAAGCAAGGCAATTACTGTCAGCTCCTGTAAGTATAAATCTAAAGTATAATATAATATATATAAAAATATTGATATTTTCAACACAGAGAAATACTTGTAGAATATTCAGACTTTAATGTAATATTAATATAACATTCTTCATCATTTGTCCCACCATATCAATGAAAGCGATGGATGCCTTTGTCTGGAACAGGTATTATGGAGGTGCAGAGGTAGTGGATCAGATTGAGCTGCTGTGTCAGAAACGCGCACTCGCCGCCTTTGGTCTGGACCCCAGCGTGTGGGGCGTTAACGTCCAGCCATACTCCGGCTCCCCCGCTAACTTTGCAGCCTACACATCTGTACTCAAGCCTCATGACCGCATCATGGGCCTGGATCTGCCTGACGGAGGACAGTAAGACAAGATCTTTCTATGATGCCCTCACTGTAAAAACTGAAAATAACATATCTGTTTGTTAACATTTTTCAAGAAAAAGCAAAAGTTAATCTCCTGCAAGACACAGAACATTAAGTCTTACTTCTGTTTTTATCAGTTTATTTCATATTTCTGTGTTTCACTGGTGATGTAAATATCCTGGTGATATGAGAGAGAAATCAGGAGCTCAACAGGTCAGTTTGAAGAAGACCTGACATGAACCCTCTCCTGAACATGCTGAACTTCTGAGATGTATACGCTCTACTCTAGTTATCAATGACTTCTATTCCCCATTTCAGCCTTACCCACGGCTACATGACAGATGCCAAGAGGATCTCTGCCACCTCCATCTACTTTGAGTCGATGCCTTACAAGCTGGACGTGAGTCATGATTTGACGTCGTGTGACTAGGAATTAAGATTTGAATCAAAATCTTCAAAGCAAATCTGTAGGGGAAAAATACGTCCCTAGCTGAACCTTTCCTGCATCTATGTGTCCACTTTTATTATCTCAGCCCAAAACAGGTCTCATAGATTATGAGCGGCTGGAGGCGACGGCCCGGCTCTTCAGGCCCAGACTTATCATCGCAGGAACCAGCGCCTACGCTCGCCTCATCGACTACGCTCGCATGAAGAAGGTACGTCTAATAGAAAGAAAGGGAAAAAATCATGAAGCAGAATAGAAAAAAACAGAAGAAAAGTAAAAGTAGGAAACACAAAATGACATTTCCAAACGATGGCTGGTAACACTTATTGTCTCTGACTGTGTGTGCAGCTGTGTGTGGAGCTGAAAGCCTACCTGCTGGCAGATATGGCTCACATCAGCGGCCTGGTGGCAGCCGGGGCTGTTCCATCTCCTTTCCACCATGCTGACCTGGTCACATCCACTACCCATAAGTCCCTGCGTGGAGCGAGGTGAGGGCCTGGATACCATGAGACTTTGATAAGCTCAAGAGTACAGGACAAGTTTATTATCACGTTTAACATTCAACATTTCAAGCATTGCGTTCTTTCTCTCTCTCCACTTTGAAGGGCCGGTCTGATCTTCTACCGCAAAGGCGTGCGCTCTGTGGATAACAAAGGTCGGGAGGTGACCTACGACCTCCAGGACAGGGTGAACTTTGCCGTGTTCCCTTCGCTTCAGGGAGGGCCTCACAACCACGCCATTGCCGGGGTGGCCGTCGCCCTAAAACAGGTCCAACTTCCTTTTACATAGAATATTCAACAAAAGCCTGGAGGAGATTAAATCCTTTGGGGAAAACAATCTGCAGATCATTTTAAACTGCAGCTTAATTTCAGTTACTCACATATGAATAATTTATTCCTATCTGGAGTGTCCTGATGTGGACTCTGTAACGTAGGATTTTTCTATGCAGGCGTCCACTCCCATGTTCAAGCAGTACATCAGTCAAGTGCTGCTAAACGCCAAGGCCATGGCTGACGCTCTTCTGAAGAGAGGCTACACCCTGGTGTCAGGTAGCGAAGCAGCTTCTGATGATTAAGATACACGTCATGTGTTTTTTTGTTTACTTGTACATGCACATACACAGTGTTAGGGTCAAATTTGATAGTTTTGTGGTTTTCCCACTGAATCCGTATTTAGAATGAGCTGTAAGTAATATTGTTTTTCTGTCTTTCCAAGTCCCTGACAGAGTTACATTTAGATTCAGATTTATCACTTCTTTATGTGCTCTGACCTAATTTCCTAAGTTCACTTAACCTTCACTTGACAGTTAAAAGGAATAAAGCCAATATTAAGGGGAATTTTTGTGTGATGATAATGGTAATGATTCCCTGCATGAAAAGTTGAGTGAACAGTGAAGGAAAATTCTTTAAATCCCTGTGATCATTCATTTTGCAGAATGTCTCTCTCCTCCTCCTCCTCCTCCTCCTCCTCCTCCTCCTCTTCCGCCTCCTCTCCCTCTCAGGTGGAACAGATAACCATCTGGTCTTGGTCGACCTACGACCTTGCGGGATGGACGGGGCTCGGGCCGAGAGGGTCTTGGAGCTTGTGTCCATCACCGCCAACAAGAACACCTGCCCTGGAGACAAGAGTGCCCTCACTCCAGGAGGACTCAGACTCGGTACTTAGATAAAAACACGAAAGCTGGTGCAGGATGTGTGGGTAAATGGATTATTCTCTGTGACGAGCTGAAGGAGTTTGTTTGTGAAGAATCTGTCAACCAGTCAGTCTTCCTACCTGCATGATATTGGACCCTTTCTTCTCTGTCTGTCTGTCTTATAGCTTCCGTCTGTCTGTTTGCCTGTGCCCGTCAGCCTGTCACTCATGTGTCAGCATGTCTCTCTCAACTTCACCAGTCTTAACCTCCTCATCAACTTTATCAACAGTGATATCTTTTATTATTCTTATTTGTCTTTTATCTGTTATTATTTTTTCACAGGAACTCCAGCTTTGACGTCCCGACAATTCAACGAGACAGACTTCGAGAAGGTTGTGGAATTTATTGATGAAGGGATTCAGATTGCACTGGATGTGAAGAAGAAAACTGGTGGGTGAAGGAGAAGAAGGAATTTCTTTGCTTTGTGTAAACTCATGATTCAGTGAGAAGGGTAGACGTATGGTGGTAACCAGGCACATGCTGGGGACATCTTCACTATATTTAAAGAATATTTACAGCAATGAAGGATATTTTTAGACTGAAATACACAACCTTAAACCGAAAGCTTGCTTTTGTTGTTGTTTCATCCGTCTCTCAACAGGAAACCTGGCCAGCTTCAGGTCCTTCCTGCTGGAGGACCCAGAGACAGTGTCACGCATCTCAGAGCTCCGCCAGCGGGTGGAGCTATTCTCAAGACCCTTCCCCATGCCGGGATTCACTGACCACTGACAACACCACAGACAGAAAGACAGTTTCCCCATCATGACCTCAAGGACACACTGGATCCTTCAGACCTGCTATAATGTCATGTGTCACGCATGCACACAGTCACGTTTCTACAGAAGATAATAAAGTATTGAGACTGGTCATAATATAATAATATTATTTTCTCTTACATAAAAAGATGATTCCAGAATCACACATGTATTATTTTTAATGGCTGTGATAATAATCATTCAGGTGGTTATTAATAATGTAATAGTTGTTGTAATAGATGTAATTATTTATTCAACCATAAGTCATTCTTTGGGCACCTATGAACAGAAACCTTAAGTAAAACACTTAAGCATGTCCCAACATAGCTAAATATAACTTGCTATAATTAATTTATCAAATACTCATATAGAGCTGATTAATGCTAAATCAGGAAACTCATGGTAAAGTGTCACCTCTGTGTTTCATGTTCCTTATGAAGTGATACCATAATAATGAAAGGATGTTACAGCAGGTTATCACATGGCCAGGTTTAGTTGTATTAGCATCTCATTCAGCAGAAAAATATAATAATTACTATTTGTTTATTACAGATCTGAGCATGCATGTTGGACTACTTTGAAAAAGCCTGTACTAAGTGTGGGAAATTGTTTGTTTGATGGCAAGATTGATAATGCTCATAATTTACATAAAGTTGGAATTCATTTTTTAAAATATAGTACTCTGCTGTGCATTATCAAGCAGTTGGTATATCAACAAGTTTCCTCTTGAGAGACAGGACAGCTAATAGATGACTGTAATTCTACTTATGGATTTGGCTTTTTGTCACCAAACTCTTTCAAGAGCCCTTGTCGGTGTCAGGCTTTGTCCCGGAGCCTGGGAAACTTACAGCAGCTGTGTTGGGAACTGAAACACACTCACAGTTTACACCAGTTTGCATCCACAACCTCACAAACCAGAAACAGTTATACAACCTTTTGTTTGTAAAACGTACTAATGTCATCTACTTTACCTTCACTTTGATTTGTTATTGTTAAGGAAATAAAAAAACTCTGATTACAAGTTGGTTGACTTTTGGAATAAATCTCTGTTGTCACTTGCACTGGTCTCACTGTGGTGCATGAAACCCTACTGCTGTGTAACACTTGATAGAGGAAAATGATCTGTTTACAGTCGAAGGAAGGACAAGCCTAAACACTGATCTGCTGCTGGCATTTCCTCTGCTCATTTTCTCTGTCAACTTAAGATCAGAAAAAGCAGATAAAAGACACAAATACACAGATCTGGCACGGAGATTAGCAGGGGCCAAAGATAAACACATCTTCATACACAATTGGTTCCAACAAAACAATTTTAATTTTGTGCTACTCTCTGTGCTGTCTCTTTAAGTTGCTCTGCTTTACCATATTAGTAATGCTAATAAACACAGTTTGTTATATTCGTGAGAAGATTATTACATTATGTAACACCAGAGTCCTTCAATGTCTTCAGAGAAACCTTCTGATGCTGCGCCTCTTTATTTAAATGCTTGCTGATGTCTGATCTGTGTGCTCCCTGCACTGCTATTTTATTCTGATGTTCTAATGTCTTTTTCAGAGAATGATGTTTCCTCTTTATAAAGCAGTGCTGGACTTCTTCCTATATATTTATTTCACTAAAGAACCGTATGGACTTGTGTTTTTCCTAAGACATCTTTTAAAATCTGTTGTTTAGTTTGAAATGTATCGCTTCAGCTTCTGCCAGAGGAATGTGTCCCCTCCATTGAGAGTGTTCAGCTGAATCACAGGTCAAAGGTCGGGGCACCGAACACACAAGGACACACAGACACACACATGCAGCCTCACAACACAAATAACGACTCATCCGCTTCATCTCTGTGTCTGTTTCTCATGACCCGACAACACCTGTGACGCAGTGTGTGCATGTGTGTTAATCTTTAGGCCTTTGAATATCCTTTAGGGAAATCATTTGATCCAACATTTTCCATCGCTCGAGGTCACCAGACCTCTCCTTGTTGCTGCAACATTCCCTGCGGTGTTCACAAGAAGGATGTTTTTTTAAATCTACATTATTCTTATTCTCACCTCAATTCCCTCGTTTTGTTGGATTAAAGGGAGGAGAAGACACAGCCAAGACTGAGATAAATACGAGCACAGAGCCGAAGGAGAGTCTGAGGTTTCTTAAGAGGATGAAACACGAGTCTCACCTTCTCTGAACAAAGCTCAGAGTTAGTGTAAAAACTTTCAAGTGTGTTTCATTTATCCTTCAGAGGTAGTGAGGTGGTTACTGAGGAAGAGAATAGAGCGGGAAAAAGATTGAAGTTATGGACTAAATTATGACAGTTTCCACAGATTTAAGTTTGTTTTAACATAATCCTTTTTCATTTGCAGGATCATTTTTAAATCAGCACTATTTTCAATATTCAGTCAGAATGGAAAGAATGGAAGAAACAGAGGTTTGATTTCTTTACTGTTTGTTTTTTTAGTCTGTAACCATCTTTTCTTCTTTATGAGTCTGCTTGTAAAGATTAGAAGAACTTAAATCACAGAGATTGTTTCCACTGGATCTCATTTTCATCCTACGTGTGCTCTGTGTGCTTGTTTCTGTGCACATTGGTACCTGGGAGTTGACTGTGTGCTGTGTGTGTGTGTGTGTGTGTGTGAGTGTGTGCGTGTGTGCGTGTGTGTGCTCAGGTTGTGCATAGTGTGCTCTGCTGTCATACATCAACGCCATGGTGAGGGACTGTTCAACATCCTGCCACTGTTGTCACTGATCAAAGACACAGAGCTGCTGTCACACACAGACACTGTTGCACATGGAAACATACACACACACACATGCACCGCACTGCACTGCAGATGGATCTGTTCCATCAAAGTTACTGATATAATGTGGAAAAAGATCTGTATCTAACTGTGCCATTAAGGTGAAAGTCACCTGTCTCTCCCTCTGTGTGTGTGTGTGTGTGTGTGTATGGATCTCATGAAGACCCAAGTAAACCTCATAGGTTGTTCCTAATGAGGCAAAACTAAATTTTTCGAGGTCCTGGTTAAGATCAGATGTAAAATGTGGTTAGGTGAATCTTAGGGTTAGTCAGGAAGTGGGCATGGTTA